GCGCTTTACAAAATCTCTTATTTAAGTGTCTCATTGATTTATTGTGATCAAACTTACTGAAATAGAATATTTTAATATTTTCGAAATGAGTATTTGCCTTTGATAATTTTACCTTTCAATTAAGAAATTTATTATTCAGTTTTATGATAGTTGATTACAAATATAAGGAATACTTATACGCATAATATTAATCATAATATGAACTATATTACACAAATTTAAAGCCGGTAAACGAACAAATAATTTTTATCATGAAAGGCATTTTTTAATCTATGCTATCATACATTTTTTGCGCGTTATAAGTTAAAAATTAAATTATTTTTTTCTCTTTCGAAGTTATACAGCGACACCATTTTGAATTTTCAAAAAGACCACGGTTCATTTAAAAGCTCTTTTCAAGACGAACATTTTCCGGGGTCAAACGTTGAAATCCGTCCATATCAATTTTGGACAGAGGCTTGATCGATTTGGCAAAGAATGCCCCATATATATTTTTTCTTATTATATATTTACTTTTCTTATTATTATACTTTTCTTATTATTATACTTACCGGTCGCAGAAAAATTTTTTGTGCTCCTTTCTCGTGAGTTGCGAGCTCACTAGGCGCGACAGGTTCTTTATCCACACAAAGTGTGCTACACTGTCGTTGCGTGGATCTTGCAGGTACAGCATGTTGACGTGTTTCTCCTTTGTGCCACTTGTGAGTCGCAGAGGAAGGATCTGTCCATTTTCAATGCCGTATACGTTGATCGACACCGCGTTTAAACGTTCGAATTTCGGAATGTCTTTTAGAGTCATTGGAAACTCGATACCCGCGAAATTCAGCACTGTCGTGTAATGTGGATACGACGATTTTCTATCTGCGTTTCTTTCTGCGGGGTACAGAGCAGCAACCACCGACCATGCGAAGCACGCATTGTCCATGGATTTCACACTGATCACCGCTCGTTTCATCACAATTTCTCGCGGCACCTCGAAGTGACATCCCGCGCGCATAGGATTTAATTT